ATACAAAGTAATATCTTGTTGGAGATTGATTGGTATGCGTCAAATTCCAAAATTAAAAGTTCTTCGTGAAGTAACGAAAGTATGCATTTTTTGACGGAAAACTCATAGAACCTTTTTCAAATATTCAAATTTATTTTTTAAAGGTCATGGAAACTAAGCGAGTTGAAACGACAAAAGAAACACAATTTTTTTCATTCCATTTGCGTATTTGAAAACAATTAATATCAAAACAATAAGTATTTAATTCTCAATAAAAATACAGTCTTCTTGGATGGCATTTCTTGAACCAGGAACCTCTTTCAAATTTATCAAATCCTAGGAGAAAACCTTAGAAATTGCATTAACATATCTTTCGATATTCAATGACACTATACATATATTTAGAATTTTCAGCAGGTGTAAAATTTTACTTTCTGCCTCTTTTCTCAATAGCCATGTATACTACATCAAATGCTAGATATGAACATCGAATCTCATTGAAATATGTTCTACCAGCTTAGATTCATCTATGTCTTGATTTTCTCAAGTTTGTTTCTAACATTTTTTAATATAAATATGCAGAAAAGCCTGATTCTATACTTGTTTCTATCATCATGGCTCAAGCACCTCAAATCACATGCAGAAGGTCTTTCTGTTCTTCGGGGAGTTAAGTTTTGATTTCATGTCTATTAAAAATACAGAATATATGAGGATCCAAACCAAATAGAAAGAGCCTTTGAACTTTTCATCTTCAGTAATATCCAATATCTATCTACAATTTTTCACCTTTCTTATATATTAAAAAAAGATATTGAATGAAACTGGCTGATATTTGATGAAAATCTATATCAACAACAACTGATACAATTTACTGAATAGCAACCAATAATTTCCATAGACAGTGTTTGGTGTTGGATGGCACTAATATTAAGTTTCTTATTTTCAACATTTTCTTTCAGCCAAGGTTATCTGAAATATTTTTTGTCGTACGGATGACAAAGCTGCAGTCGATTATCACGATTGTAATAAATTAGTCAACGAGAACTGATTTCATACCGATTTCATTTTCATTTCTTCTATGTTGGATGCCACTGGTTTGCTCGTACATCTCCTCTTGTAAGATGCACCAAATCATTACCGCTAGCAGTAGGAACTTGATTATTGTTGTCGATGTTCCATTGTCAAACACCTTGTTCTCACATCGGTCAAACCATGCTGAGCGATACGGCTCCCTCTTCTATCCGAAAAAATATAATTAAATTCTCTATGTGAAATGCGCCTTCAGGACGAGGACTATTTCGTGGTGTTGTTCACGCTGTCGGCGGTATACATGGACGTGTTAAAACCATTAGTGGTGATAGAAGTAATTAAGTGGAGATTTGGATATTCAAAACAGAGATTTATTCATAGCATGACGTATATGATCTCAGTGATATGTATTTGAATCGAAAATCAGGCTTTCGGTTCAATATTTCTAGCAAAATGGCCAAATACTGTTCATAAATTTCACTAGTTCGGACTTCCATTGTCTACTATATAAAATGATTTGAAATCCCTGAAACAACTATAAAAGAGGGATTGAAAATGAATAGCTGAAAATAACAATTATATTAAGCAAAATAAACCTGAAATGAAATAATGGTGAAATAAAATACAGGTAAAAATTGAACAATTGAATGAATAAAAATAAAGAATTGAAAAAAAGAAAATAAAAATGAAAAATAGAGAGATTTCAAGTCACGTTAGTTCACGACGTTTCGATTGTAGATACTTGAATACGCCAGTGGTGGCATATTGAAGAAACCAATCGGATTCATTGTATTTTCAGTTGTGCATTTTATTCAATAAAAACTGTTTTTCAAGCGATGGAGTCGATATTAACTTTCTGAACGCGACACCCAACATATTTTTCAATTTTTGGGTTCTTTAAACACAATCTTCAATTGTTTCAAAAATATTGAGTGTATGTATTATCAACATTAAAACATATTTAATTACATAAATTCGCTTCAACACACTCAATATGTTCAATAATGTATTCATGTATTGATTACGTAAAATCAAAAATCATTTCACCGTTCCTTTTTACTGATATCAAAAATCTCATATTGAAATACCCGGCCCTAGCAAATTGTTATTTGGCTGCATGACAGTTTTATTTGTCAGTATTATAGTCGTTTCCAGTTGCAGACCCATGATAGAGATATCAACCTGCCTAGAAACCTATGCGACTGTATTTCAAGTAGAAATTTACGTTATCGAAGTGTGTGCTGAGAGACTGGAAGAATCCAAACTCATACACAAGTCAATAAAAATATTCTCGGGCAGTCAAGCGGCGTTGGAGGCTCTTGGCTCCTATCGAGCACCTCCTAAATTGTTAGCAAATTGCCAAAAACGACTCTCTTCGATATGAAGACTCAACAGATTGTCTTTGGTCTGGATTCCTGACCATATCTAATGTCCTGGAAGGCAATGAAGCTGCTGACTCCGTTGCAAAGGATGGTGCTGCACGCAGCTTCATCGGACCAGAACCTGTCATTGGCACGCTTTAGGCTTACAAACATTGGACACCTGGATGGCAAGACGATGTATGGACTTCTGACAGAATCTTTCAGGACTGGCTCACCCCAAGGCGGTTATTCACCCTTCGAAGCTTGATACCAAACAGTTGTTGGACTACAGTAGGTATGAACTACGATGTCTATCAGGCCTTCTTACAGGTCACTGCCATTTGAATCATCATATGCAGAGACTTGGACTGTCGGAAGACAGTGTGTGTCGCCTGTGTTTGGAAAATGATGAAACAGCAGAGCACATACTTTGTGCCTCCCCCACTGGGGACTGAATTAGGTTTTTAGAGTTCGGCATAGCCGTAATCTCACCATCTAACCGAAAGACCACACACCATACAAACTAATCGGCTTCGTTATGAAGCTGGGTTTATTTGGCCGAGTGTGAATAGGTGTGAGCCACAATGAACCCTTGCGGGTTGCGGTAGAGGTCGAATAGACCCACTAACTTTACTAACCTCAAAAATTATGCGAGCTAAGGATGAATAAGGTCTTACCTTTCAACGTGCGATTTCTAGCACAGATTGGACAATAAGAAGAAAAACATCGATAGATCAGCCGTAGGGCTTGATTTACGTGAATAAGTAAAAATTTTAAACATTATTTAGAATATTACTGGAGTTTTTTCCCAAAACCAAATCGTTATTTTAAACACCTCGACACGTGTTTCGATCACCAAGTGATCATGTTCAAAGAGGAAGATTAAAACTTCCTCTTTGAAAGTGTGGCACTGAGTTTTGAGTAGAAATTAAATTCGGGGAGGGCTAGTCTGAATAATTCGATTGTGATTGTGGAGAAGGACTAGGTAAAGGAGTTAGGTTCGGGGATGATTGATGAGAATAAGATTTGAGAGTATGAAGGGTTTGGCACAGAAATTTGTATGGGCATTGATTGATTGGAATATTGACTGTTATAATGTCCCATATCGGCACTAAAGATAATATTATTTATGTGGTGCTGCACTATAGCTTTGGTTATTTTACCTATTATAGTTCCTTAGCTTATGAGCCACATATTGACCATATACTCCACATTCGTCTCTAAGGTCATTATTAGCTGCTGCATTTTTAAGAAAGCCTAAAGCTTGGTCAACTTTTGAAGTTCCTACCGATGGCGATGGTTCAACTGATCTTTTAAGGTTTTTGGATTTGCTTTACAAGAATGGCAGATGTACGTGGATTTGGAGATACCGGCGTATTTTCAGTTTTTATTTCGGTTTCTTGTGACTTGTCACTTGTCACTTTCAGAAGGTGGTGCATTATCATTTTCCTAAAATATAAGATATTGTTAAGACGATTCGCCTGATTTTTACTTTAGTCGTACTAACTGAAGACCAGCAAACGAATAAATTTCCTTTGTGCAAATCTCATTTACCGACAAATCTCGGAAAATGTTTGGCGCGTTCGGCGCGACGTACTCACTAGGGGAATTTGTTCTGCGCGAGCTGCGCGTTTTGTTCGTTCGGACTGTTTTGTTGCGAATGAATACGCACCTTTACAGGTCACTGCCATTTGAATCATCATATGCAGAGACTTGGACTGTCGGAAGACAGTGTGTGTCGCCTGTGTTTGGAAAATGATGAAACATCAGAGCACATACTTTGTGCCTCCCCCACTGGGGACTGAATTAGGTTTTTAGAGTTCGGCAGAGCCGTAATCTCACCATCTAACCGAAAGACCACACACCATACAAACTAATCGGCTTCGTTATGAAGCTGGGTTTATTTGGTCGAGTGTGAATAGGTGTGAGCCACAATGAACCCTTGCGGGTTGCGGTGGAGGTCGAATAGACCCACTAACTTCACTAACCTCAAAAATTATGCGAGCTAAGGATGAATAAGTTCTTACCTTTCAACGTGCGATTTCTAGCACAGATTGGACAATAAGAAGAAAAACATTGATAGATCAGCCGTAGGGCTTGATTTACGTGAATGAGTAAATTTATCTGATTTTCAAAACAGTGGCAGGTTTGATTACACTGAGCACTTCAATTTCTACAAATTCCATGATATTTGATACCAAAGTTCATGTTGTTCAGTATTAACACATTAGTGCATATGATCCTTTTAAAAGGATGTCGATATTTTAATTGTCAATGCTGTACCTCCAGCTTTGCTCGACCGCAAAACATCGCCAATGCCTTCCAGTTGCTCACTGTTATTGCATGAAGTAACAAGTTCCGTCCGTAGAGCGCTATAAGTGTTGAAATTTTCTATTATGGATCCAAGTTTATATTCGAATAAAAATGGAGGGTGAGTACTCAATATTTTCATCTAATAATCAATTCCATTATCGTGAAAACCACGATATTCTATAAAATAACCTCTTTTCTAACACCCAATGACGTTTCTTTCTCATTCGCATGTTATACCTAATGAATATAGTAGTATTTTTGACAGATCCCATAAAAAGGACTCCATGCATGATGTACAATTTTTCCTGTTATTTTCAGATTATCACTTCACGAGTTAAAATCAATCGAGCAAGAAAAGGAACAAGTCACATAATTGGTCCACGAATACCCCAGATTACGATATGAATATCCACTGCGAACCTAAGCTACCATCAAATAAGGCCCGAATGGCAGAGACACCAGAAGATTTTTTCAAACTATTTTTTGATGACAATATTCTGGAGAATATTGTGGATCAAACTGAAATATATGGACAGCATAAGAATACAACTCTCAACTTTTCCAAAAAGGAGTTATATGTTCTACTAGGGGCTATTTTACTTTATTTTATTTTGCTAAGTATCCCAACAAGAGAATGTTCTGGAATAGTGGAGAAGATACTCCTAAAATACTTCTGAATTCCATGAGATTGAATCGTTTTGAACAACTCATTAGACACATGCATTTCAATGATAATTTCCGAAATGACTCCACTGACAAACTCTATAAACTGCGTCCCCCTATTGATGATTTGAACAAAAATTTCAGAGAACATGGAGGTCTAGATGAATACCTTTCTATTGACGAGAGCATGATACCTTACTATGGGAAGCATCATGCGAAGCAGTATATAAAGAGAAAACAAATCAGATTCGGCTATAAAAACTGGGCCCTCTGTAGTAATACTGGCTATATGGTTAGTTTCGATATTTATACTGGTGAATCCACCAATGAGAAACAATTTGGCTTAGGAGGAGATGTTGTGATATCGCTGGTGAACTCAGCAGGAATACCTTCGAATAAGGGTTTCAAATTATACTTTGATAATTACTTCACCAGCATTACTTTATTGACTCATTTAGCAGGAGATAATATATGTGCAACAGGTACCATTAGAGCTAATAGGATGGAGGGTTGTCCATTTCCTGATAAGGGATTCTGGAACAAATCAGTGAGATTTTTATCAAACGGTAAACTTTCACTAACACAATGGAAAGATAACAAAGTGGTTACCATGGCTACCAATTTCGAAGACACAAGTGTTACATCTGCGAAAAGATGGTGCAGGGAAACAAAATCTAAAAAGAATATTTCCCAACCGAAAGTTATTCACAACTATAATCAGAGGATGGGTGGTGTCGATAAAATGGATGGGCTCGTGGCGGCATATCGATCTAGAATTAGACAAAGGAAGTGGTGTTGGCCAATTTTTCAATACTTGTTAGATGTGAGCATAGTGAATGCCTGGTTGCTTATGAAAAAATTGAAACCGCATGATCCCAATTGTGTCAATCTGCTCACTTTTCGGCGGTACATTGCAAACAGTTTTTTGCAAACTCATGGTGAAAAACCTTCAAAATACAAGGCATCTGTTCCTATTCAGAATGTAAGGTTCGATGGCATGAATCATCTTATTCAGTATCATGAGAATGACAAAAAATGTAAGATATGTGGAAAAAATACAAAATTCATCTGTGTGAAATGTAATGTAGGGCTTCACCCAAAACACTGTTTCATAACCTATCATAGGAAACAATAAATACCTAAGAAATTAATGTTGTTTTCAGTCTTCAACATTTTATGGTAAACCTGAAATTATGCATGAGGTCCTTTTAAAAGGATGTGCTATAATTTCTCATCTGACGATAAAATTGAAGAAGTAATTATCAAAACATGTTGAACACAACACATTTGAAGTATTTCTATGGGGAAATTTGATAATTTCTAATAAAAAATTTTCTATGCACTAATGGGTTAGCCACACAACATGACTCGCTCTTTATATTTTCATTTCGTCAAATTTCGTACCATGAAAAATACATTGAAATTATTGCTTTTTTCGACAGAAATATGTCAACAGCAGATATTTTTGACAGATATTTTTTAATTCTTCTCTCAAATCAACCTTCACGTGGCTTTGGCCAGAAATTTCCTCAGAAATCATCGTGATATATTACTGAAACGGAAACAAAAATCCTGAATAGGTTAGGTTAGGTTAGGTCCAAAGAAAGTGGGTCTATTCGATCCTCCACCGCAACCCGCAAGGGTTTGTTGTGGCTCACACCTATTCACACTCGACCAAATAAACCCAGCTTCTTAACGAAGCCGATTAGTTTGTATGGTGAGTGGTCTTTCAGGTCAGATAGTGAAACAGCTATGAAGAAGAAGACAAAAACCAAAACGAGGTATACAGCATACAATGCTCGGACTGCAACAAATTCTATATCGGCCAATCCAAGAAAAAACTGATCCAAAGGTACGATGAGCACAAAAAGGCATACATAAACCCATTAGTATATAAATCAAACCTCGCAACACACGCCATACAAAACAAACATAATTTCCCTCCACCAGAGAACATAAAACTCATAAAACAAGTCAATAAGGGAAACCGTATCGACATCTGGGAAAACTCAAACAAAATTTAACAGTCATAAATCACTTATCGAGGAACAAGTACAAATCGAAACTCAACAAGACCCAACATTCAATATATTCTGTTTAAAAAAAAAATCTGTTTTTTCGTTAACCAGCTGTTGCACCCCTACGAACGACAACCCTCAAAAGTCGAAACTTGTGCGAGCTAAGGATTAACGAGGTCTTATTAAACAAATCGATACACACTCCTATAAACAGTAAACCCAGAGAAGATCCAACACAAAGAATAGTACCTGATGTAACCCAAATACAGGCAAATTCACCTAAAGAACCTGGAGTACCTGCTTGAGGCGTTCGGACCATATAAAAGGACATACAACAGGATGACACGTTCAGTTTGAGTAGAGCCTAGATGATGATAGCACGACCAGCTGTCGAAAGCGCTCGCAAATGATATAAAGCTTCAAATCCTTTTTGTGACTCACATTAATGTAATGTAATGTAATGTAAGTCACAAAAAGGATTTGAAGCTTCTCTTCTCTTAAGTAAGTTTGAGTAGAGCTTAGATGATGACAGTACAACAACTTTGCCGAAACGTTGTGAAAATAATTCTTATGGGGAGAAAATACACAGAACACGGAGCGAAACCCGAGAAAACAGCCCATCATATATATCAACAGGGTCTATCAGTCAAAAAGTCAAAAATCAAACTCTGTTTTACTTTGCCAAGCTTTCGCTTCTAATGGGAAGCTTCTTCAGGGCCTAGAATTTAATGATTTTTGAATATTTTCGCCTTTGAATACCATTACAAATCATACTTACAATAAAAATGAGTGAAAAACATTAAACTGAAGATATAAATTGACGTAAAAGTTAACAGGTATACGGTTTTTTTTTGTGGGTTTGACAAATGTCATACCTTCACATAAATGTCATTTTTCAATGAGTATGATAATTTGATAATTTTTTACTGTAAAGAAAGAGTTATTGATTGATACATCTTTCATTATTATTATGTTTTTGATGTAGTTCTAGTAAATTACTATATATACTGCTGAGATTATCAATGTCAGTTTCCTCATTCATACAATCAGAAGACTTACTTATTTCCACCATTTCAAGAAAAAGGCGTTTGGAAATATTTTTTTCTGTATGTAAAACTTTGATATTAAAGTAATTTGGTTTATGACCTGTTTCTATAGAGTATTGTGCTAATGCACATGATTTTTATCACTTTCATGTGAAGTTACTCTATCATTAAGAATTCTAGATGTTGTTCCAATATAATTCAAGTTACAATTGTTACAAGGAATGTTATAAATCACATTTGACTTTTTTATTGTATCAGTTTTATCTTTCAATTTGGTATTCAAATTCTTTATAGTTTTAATATTTTTTGGCATATTTTGATATTTTATTCATTATGAAAAAGTTTTATGATATTTGAAGATAAATTCCCAAGGTTAGGTATAGATTCATGAGAAATATTGATAGGTGAACTATCATTACATACATTTCTGTTAATTACTTTAGAATATGTATCACTTCCAGTATTAAAAATTATTTTATCAATAAGTTTTCTGGGATAAGAATTATCGATCAATATGTCTTTAAGAAGTCTGAGAGATAGTAATTGATATATCTTCCTGAATTAGTAGGTTTGACATACCAATCTGTAATCAAGGAATTATCAGTTTTACGAATAACTCTTTTATCAAGAAAAGGAAGGGTCTGATTATTTTCTATATCGATAGTGAATTGTGACTTTTTATCATATCTATTGACAACATCAAGAATTCCATTAGATTTGTCATAAGGTATTGCACAGATGACATCGTCATCATAATAATAATGAAAGATGTATCAATCAATAACTCTTTCTTTACAGTAAAAAATCATCAAATCATCATACCCATTGAAAAATGACATTTATGTGAAGGTATGACATTTGTCAAACCCACAAAAAAAAAACCGTATACATGTTAACTTTTACGTCAATTTATATCTTCAATTTGTTGTTTTTCACTAATTTTTACTGTAAGTATGATTTGTAATATTATTCAAAGGCGAAAATATTCAAAAATCATTAAATTATAAGCCCTGAAGAAGCTTCCCATTAGAAGCGAAAGCTTGGCAAAGTAAAGCAGAGTTTGATTCTTGACTTTTTGACTGAGAGACCCTGTTAATCCATTTTATCATACATTTACACAAAGTGACCATTTTCAAGTAAAAGATTGAACTGAACATACATACAATGTTATTCTTATTTAAACCATACCTTCTAGATACCTGCAGGTGAGTCTGATAAGTATTTATCGTGGTATAAAGATCACAAACACCATAAATAATCAAGTTGAAACCAAATAGCACACATAACACTCTTTCATAATCTCTTCCCCACCCCATCATTCTCTAGAAATGCAAATACCTACATTTATTGGTCCGTAGCTTAATGGCAGTTGACCAAAAGCAATTATTTATGCGACTACAAAAACTCTTATAGTTACTATTCAAATAAGGGTGCAAGGTTCCTCATTCGCCGTGAAATTATTACCTGTATGTTTAGCACTTTCTTTCGAGCCAGGATTAGCATATAAAGTAGGGGTCATTGTTTAGATAGCTCCATTCTGAGGGCAATGTAAATAAGAAAATGTATGTGGTCCAATTTCGTCGCTCGCAATGATGTTGGAGTAGAGTAGAGATGGATGGAGTTATGCCGATCTGAGGGCATTAGTTTAAATGGTGGGAAGTATGAAAAATCATATATACGGCAAGAAATATATGCATTTTTCCAGATAGATTCTGGCGTATTGGAAAGTTGATCGTTTTAAGATGTATGTGAAAATTTCGAAACTGATATTTCATTTCGAAATAGACAACGTGCAGTTGTGCAGGAAAAAAAGGATAAAACAAATGGCAGTGAACAAATTCAACTCGAATGTAATTCATCACATTCTTGATAAAAAACTTTTCAAACAGGACATCAACCAAGTATTCCTCCACATTGCATATAATACTAACACCTTCAAGGGACTCGCATATACTAAAAAAACATCAGATGAAATAAAAAGATTACTGAATATAACATATCATATAAGACTAGTAACTACTAGGGTAGACATAAGAAGAACAAGTCCCACATAGACAAGTATAATATATCAGGTATCTATAAACTAACATTCAGATCGTGCTCAAAAATTTTTATTGGAAGAACTTCAATACACTTTGACAATTTTGAACCGAAGAAGACCAATGCCACCTCTTGAAGAACAATCATGGTTTTAACATCAACTACATCTGATCGCTTGCAATAGTAAAATTGCAGCATAGACATGTCTGCAGTGTTGTAAGTGTTGGAGGGTTCAACCTCGACCTCTTCGGTGTTGACGGCCCTTCATCATTCACAGGAGCACACGAATCCCCCTCATGACGATGCAGGTTGTCACTACAGGTGAAACTATTCACATAATCCCTACACGTATATCTACATTATATAAATATAATACCACACGACTATCAGAAAAATTTTAAATGAACGTAACATTTACACCACACTTATT